TTTCAAGATTATTTATGATATCCAAAACTTAATTGATTTATTCAGATGAATATGTTGTTACTATTTAAAATGGTCCAAATAATTCTGTAGTTACACTCTTATTCTTCTAAATTTAATCTAATGGAACATATAAAGCTGTAGGTTCAAATGATCCATAAATTGATGGAATAGAATGATTTTTCAATTCTTATCCACCAAATAATATTTTTGATTAAGGTATTTTCAAAATATTTTCAATATGCTATTTAATTTAAGTATTGTTCCATGTAATAATAGGACCATTACTTAAATCCTATAAATTTCTAGTACTAGCCAATTATTTAATTTTATCAAGAAATCCTGCCTTAACCCAATTTTCATGAACAAAGAGAATACTTTAAGCTGAACATTTCTATCCAGTACTTCCATATGCATCTTAATCTGATTACCATGCAACATAATTTTGTGTATCTATATCTGGTATATCTGGACCAAGTATTTTCCAATCAAATCCAGCATCTTCAATTCTTATCTTTCCATTCAATACTTTTGTTAAATGCTCTGCAACCTTTGATGATCCTGTAAATTAAGTATTACGAAAATTTCCCTATCTTAATATAAATTCAGTCGCTTCACCATTACCAAATAACATATCTACATCTGTAGCAGGTAAACCACAATGAAGTGCTAATCTTAACATTTATTCCATAACAACATTTACTCTACTGTCTCCTTTGAAAAATACTTTATTTCCTGTGATCAAAGCACCAAATATTTATAAACTTGGTATTTCTAAAGGAAAATTAAAAGGAGCCACTACAGCACATGATCCATAAGGCCATCTATATCCTGTTGATTATTATCCAGGACGATCTCCAGCTACATTAAAAGATCTAGTTAAAAAACGAGGTTAATCACCACTAAAATTTTAGAAGAACCTCTCTGTTACAACTACTTCACCTGATGCTTATGCAAAATGTTTAGGTACAACTCTTTATATTAATTTCACTAAGAAATCATGAACTTCTTTTTTTTTAAGTTCTGATGCTATTTTATGGCATACTTCTCCATAAATTTAATATCTTTATGGATTTTTTAATGGATTATGTAATCCACTAATTGGACATTCTTTGGCTGAATCAATATATTTCAATAATTCTTATTTGTCCTAAACATCTGGAACTGTAATAAATGGTTCACCATTTAATGGATCTATTATAGTTTGATATTTATGGGAATCAATCCATTTTCCTCTTAAAAAGTTTTGAGCCTTATGAGGATTGCGAGAAGATCTATAGATATTTTAATTAAAAGACTCTCTTACAATTAATATGGATCAAGTGTAAAATAAGAAGGAATTGTAGAAAATGATGCTATATTCCTAAATTTTTGCATATTATTTATGATTTATATATGTCATTAAAGTAAATATAACTGGAGAATTAATGTTATTATATAAAATTTATAATTATATTATGAAGTATCATCTTATTTTAGTTATATTAGAGCGTACTCTCCTAAAATTTAGATTGGATGTTACTTATCCTTTTGGACTAAAAAAAGGTTTAGATTGAATCCTTTTATTTTCAGGATTTGCTCTACTACTTTATATTTACTACTATTATTATTAAGATCTTATTGATTCCATCATCACATCAATAGGTTTAGGTTATTTAGTTTTATACAAACAAATCTTATTATTATTATTGTTATTATTGCATTTTTATAAATTCTCTAAATTAGTAGTATTTTTTAATAAGACTTTATTAGTATTTGAATTTGATTCACCTTATATTATCATTCTTTGATTTAAGAAATTCTAATAATTAAGTTATGTATAATGTTGCATCAATATATTTCTTATATTAGGTTCTTTTTGAATTCTTGTACTTGATAATCTTGTTGATCCTGATAAATTAGAATTCTTGTTAAAAGATACGATTTAATTAAATTGTTTAATTTTTACATTCTCATCCAATACTGATTACTTTTAATGTTATTCCATTTCTATTATAAATTAAGCATTTCTGAATTATTTATTATAAATATTATATTCGTTTAACATATCTACAAATTACATCGTTGTTGGTTTTGAATCATTTAAATCTTTCAAAATAGGATCATAACTAATTAGTTTCATTTTAAGAAATTAATTTGCTAAATTTAATTTATTATTATATTGAGTCTACTATTTTTATTATAGATTTCTTTATCTAAGTTTTCTTTTTTTTGTATAATTTTTATCTACTAAAAGATCTAAACTTATAGGTTCTAAGAAATATCTAGGAGCATTCAAAGAGTACTAATGTATTTAAATTAGTTTTTTTAATTTGTGAATAACCTCTTTTTCATGATATTTACTTAAATACTCTTTGCATTCAAAGTATTCTTAATCATATATGTGAATTATGGATGGTTTACCTTGATTAGTTATAATCATATTAAGATTATTAGTGTAGTAGTAATTTTAAGCATAGGAATATTTATTATATAAAGATGCATGCATTGCTTTTAGAATGACCTTTGATGAATAATTAGGCTTAAGAGGTTTCTTCTCATAATCTGGATTGTATGAAGTACTTTAGTGAAAGAGTAATAACATAAAAAAAATAATGTATTCTTCACCAATAAGTTTAGTTCATTTTTATATTATAAAATTTAACTTAAAAATATAAATTCTAAAAATATTGCAAATAATCATATAACTGTCTTAATATACTAGAGCATTTAAAATATGCTCATTTATTATAATAATTAATCTATTGACTTAATATCTGTCTCTTTAAAAAGCTAATTATAAATAATAAAATTTTGATTTTATTTTATCATCATAATTTTCAATATTTTTATACAAATCTAACTAAAAGTTTAATTTTTCAAATATAAATTAATCTTTGATAGTCCCATTTTTGTTTTTTTATAATTTTATTTATTTGTTAACTTTTATTTTAATTATATCTTAATTTATATTATAGATATAAATCAGATCATGAGAATAATTTAATATAGTAATTGACCATCTTATTCTTCTAAATTATTATATTGATTTTTTTAACATTCCAATTCTATTAATAATTATTTAATTCATAGGGTTAGAAATGTTCCTTTTGTTATTTCTTATTAAGATTTTTAATTAATTAATTTCCAAAATGTTTTTATATTACAATTTAAAATATAATATATTATATTAATAGATGATAGTAATATTATAATTAGCATAAATATTTGTTGAATTTTAATCAAAACTTTTTCTTAGATTTAAAAACTAAAATATTTGTTTCCGATATATCATCATCAATCAATGAGTTTTCTGTTTAACTCAATTTATTTTATTTTTCTTCTTTCTTTGCATAAGAGATAATTTAATATTTATTTTTCCCTATCAATTTATTTTCATAACGATTAATTTATATTGATGTATCTCCAAGAAGAGGTTTAACATTAATCTCACTATTTTATAGATAACTAATCTCTGCTCTAGAAATAAAATCAATTTTATCGTTTGTTTTGAAATATTCCTATTTAATTTTTTTATATGATCGATTCGTAGAGACAGAAATCAATTTATTATAAAATAAATTTCTTTCAGATCTTTTTTTTGTTAAATTTTGATGATGTTTTTAAGATTCAGAATGTATTCTTTCTGTACTTCTTAAAACATGTTTTATAACTCCATGTTTTTATACAGTAGTTTTAAACATAGGCTAAGGAGCTAAACGAGCTCTACTAATATAATTGTTTTATTGGATTTGATAACTATTATTAATTGTCCCCTCATATTCATCATTGAATTTGCGTTTATACTTTAATGGAGATTTTGTGAATGATATCTAAGTTTCTATTTTCTTTTAATTAAGACTACTCTATCTTAGTATTTTTGAATCTCTACTATAATATTCGTTTTAAGAGCTATAGTTCATAATTAATGTATAATTTGTTTATTTCTTTTTATGTAATTTATCAATCACTTTCAGAATCATCATCTGCTAAAAAATCATCTATTGAATCTTCATCATCATCATCTTCAATATCATCCTTAATATCCAATTCCTCTCTATCATTACTTAAATCTTCATTTTTTTAACTTTCCTTTTTTTTCTTTGGTTGGGCTACTTTTCTTATTTTTTGTTTAATTGGTTTTGGTTCTTTGGGCTATTTAGGTGGTTTTGGTTCTTTTGGTGGCTTAGGTTCTTTAGGGGGTTTAGGAGGTTTTGGTTCTTTAGGTGGTTTTGGTTCTTTAGGTGGTTTAGGCTCTTTTGGAAGTTTAGGTTCTTTTGGAGGTTTAGGTTCTTTTGGTGGTTTAGGTTCTTTAGGACCTTTTTTGGGTTTAGTTTCTGGTTCTACTTGTGTAGTATTAGGATTATTAGGATCAGCATTAGCTTCTTATTCTGCCTTTTTTGCAGCTTATTCAGCCTATTTCTCTGCTTTTAATCTCTACCTTTCTGCTTTATCAATTTCTTCTTATTATTACTATAGAATTCTGTCATTCATAAATTAAAAGTCTTTCCAAAGTGATTAGAAATTTTCATCAAATTATTGTACAAGTTTCTTACTTTTAATTAATAATAAATTTTCTTTATTAGTTGTAACTGCAGACTTTGTCCAGTTAAAGGAACCTGTAGCAATATAATCTGTATCAATTACTAGATATTTATTATGCATCAAACTAACTGTTGAATTATCAAGTTTGATTTCAGCCTGAGAAATATATAACGCTAATCATTTACCTATCCTTTTCCTTCTTCTAATATTTAATCCAAAATAGCTTTTTATGAAGGTATCTTAGTTTAAGCATCATCAGTTATGATTTGTATTTTTAATTGAGGATTCTCCTTCATCATTTACAACATTTTACCAACAATATTTTTATTGGTGAATGTATAGACACAGATACGGATATATGATTTAGCTTGGGAGAGAAATTGAATGAGCTTTTATTCATTTTCTTTAGATGGAAAGAATAATGGCTCAATGGTTACTTAATCTGATTTTTCTTCTTCCATAAATAATATTAAAATTATTCAAAGAGTGTTAATTAATTATAGTAATTTTTATTTCCATTATTGTTTTTCCTCCTCATTCAATTTTGCCAATGACATTTCGAAACATTCAAATTACAATTTGATATGTTATTCACTTTCGAATTGGCTGGTGTCAAGTTCATCATTATTCAATATTTATTGATTTTGATTTTAATTTGTATTTTAATCTTCCAAAGAATGAAAATGATCACTCATAGAATGAGAGGATTCTTATTTAATTTATGATTGTTTTTCTATTTAATCTATTCTATTTCTATGAATCTATTTTAGAATTGAAAAATACTTCAATTGCAAATTATTCATGAAGAGTTAAAAACTATTTTAAATTGTCTTCAAATTCTTACAATATTTTTGTAAGATCTTAAGAATAAGTAGTTTATTCATTTAATTTTAATGAAAATTGTATTTTCTTCAAAGTTTCAATAAGTGTTTACCCTCTAGAATTAAACTAAAAAATTAATGAAGTTAATTACTCCATCACATTAACAACGAGGACTTTAAGTTGATGATAAAAAACCACCAATAGATGAAACATTTGTTTATTTATTCCCAAATGAATCTCGGTCTATTATAATTTACAGTATTATACTAGAATTGCTATCCTTTAATTTTTAATTAGATTCTATTTTTCCACTTTTTTAACGTTCTTCTACATTAGCTTATATTGCATAAAGTTAGAAATCCTTTTAGGAAAGTTAAAGTTCTAATAATTAAGATGAATATTTATAATACTTAATGTATTTTGATCTCTTTCAGATTATCGTAGAGTTTCTAAGGTTTACTCTAATAATTATTTATATTATTTGATCTCCATCTCTAAAGATTTATTACTTTGTTGGAGTTTCTAAAATTTAGAAAACGAATTACTTGATTATCAGATTAAAGGTTGGGAATAATTTGACTGTTAAGGAATTATTGTGGCAAACTATCTACAGATTGACTTGAATGAATAATCTCAACATCATCATCTGACATTAGTGAACTAATTTTAAATAATATATTAATATACTCTCCAAATATAAATATATATATATATAAATATAATCATTAGTTGTTTTAGCCACATTCATTATTATAATAAAATAGAGACTAAATCATGCTGGATTTTTAATGAAAAAAATATATAAAAGATTATTTTTGTTTTATTTTATCAATACAATCTCCCCACATGAACAACTAAAATGATGATTATCTGCCTTCATTGCTATAAGAATTTTAGGGAACCGAAAATGCAGAGGGACAGTTATCTGAATACCAGAAAGTTAAGTAATGGTTTGTTTTTTTATAAAAGATTGGGGAACTTAGGCCTGATGACTCCAATGAGTAATACATTAACTACAGACTTTGAGTAAATGACATTGGACACATCTCCTAAAGAAAGCTTAGTTAATCAAAAAAACTGTCTCATTATAGACACTATTGATGAATAAGAAGAAAATATATTCAAATTATAAGTACAAGGGACAATTAATGCTTAGAAACATTAAAGTTTCAAGGTACCTAAAGAATAAAAACGAAAATCTCCAAAACATAAAACATGTTAACCACTCCTGACTGAACCAATTAATCAAGGAATTTAAGAAAATTAGGATGCTATTTTAGAGATGCAATCTCCTAGTTCAAATGATACTCCATCACTTAATGCTCAAACTTTATAATTAATCAAAGAACTCTGGAATTCAGAAAAGAATGAGTCTGAGTATTTTCAAGATATTATTGATGGTCATTCAATCCCTTAAGGATTGTCTTATGATTATAGTTACCTCAATTAACCATTTTACTCTCCTCCACTTCTTGAATCTCAAAGTCCTTAAGTTAAATTTGAACCAGATATTGAAATGGATCTTTATGTAACCTCTTTAGTAGTAATAAACATGGCATAAATCTATAGGATTAACTATGGGGAAACCAGATTGTTAGCCGAAAATTGTAGAAAATGTTAGAACAAGGTACTTAGGAATAGAAAGAGTTGATAACTTATAAATTGGAACGCATAAGTCCATAAATTTAGAAAGATGTATTTGGAAATTATGTTGTATAAAAAATCTTTGAATGCAGTAAAAATTAATATAATATTATTAGCAAATCAAAAGCTACAATTAAGAATGTTTAATAAATTAAAATCTCATTTTTATGATTTATCAAAAAATAATTTTGGATGCAGAGTAATGTAGAAATTAATTGAATATACATACAATCGTGAAGATTTATAATTGATTGTTCTATAACAATTATAATCTAATATGAGATCATTAATTTATGATTTGAATGGAAATTATGTCATTTTTAAGATGTTAGAAACATATGACAAATTAAAAATGGAATTTCTAATTCCCATTGTAGAAGAATCTGTAAATTTATTGATTTAATTATTTAGTTTAACTACATGGGTTAATAAATATATGGCTGCAAAATTATTCATAAAGTTATATAATAATATACACCATAACAAATAAGTAGAATAATTAGATTATCTGTGTAGAATTATAATATACTGAGTTAAACTGAATATGGAAACTATGTCTTATAACATATATTATAACATTGGAAACCAAGTTAAGAAAAAGGATATTTAGTTCAATTAGTTATATAATAATTTTACTAACTTAGTGTTAACAAATATGCAAGGTATCTTCTTATATAATTTCAAGTAATACTGTTGAACGAGCCTTAGAAGTTTTAGGGAAATAAGAATTAATAGCAATAATGAATTGGCTTTTAAGTCGAAATCCTAATTAATAGTAAATACTCCTTTTTATTTTTAGTTCAAGTAATTTCGTTATTTTAGCTAATCATTAATATGCAAATTATGTTATTAAGAAATTTCTAGTTTTAAGTGATCATAGTGTACAAAAATATATATCAGATCATTTATAGTAAAATTAATCTGAATTAACAGCCATCAAATCGACTGTGCATGGTATCATCTGAAATATATATAATAATTAGGCCAAAGAATATATAGCCTTTTGGAAAAATCAATCCAACAATGAAGTTTATTAGAAATATCTGATTTCGATGAATAAATATAAAGAATATATCATGACAATAATTAACTAAATTTTCTTATATCTTCTTCACTAGTTAAAATGCTATCTAAAGGTTAAAGTAATGTGTTATGTTATTCAATTTAATCCTCTATTTTACAACTAGCTGTGTATTTGAATTGAGAATTAAAAATTATTAGTCTTTTTCTAAATTATTCTCTTGGCAATATTGTAAATGTATCTAAGATTGATTCTTTGTACAATTCAATATTAATATTAAGATCATCATTTTCAATTGCTTAAATATCCTTATTTACTTGTGTTATTTTATAGATATCTATAAAGCTTTAATAGTTTGAATTTTCCTTCATCATTTATTTAGATTATGTAAATTCATAACAATTAAATTCTATACAATTCATCATTTATTTAGTATAATATTAAATTGTATTATCTTATAAACCCATTTTATATTACATTTCAAAATTCTTAGTATATTGAGATATTAGTTTATTACTACATTATATATATTTTTACATTGCAGAAAATTCCTTTTTATTAGATGCCCTATAAATGTTTATTTTATCTTTTGTGATTGTAAATACTAAGTCTTCTTCAAAATCAAATTTACAATCAATGTACTAAATTTATTTTTCCATTTCTTATCTAATTAAAATACTCTAAAGTACTTCCTTCTTAGCATAAAACTGCTCCTTAAGAATTTATTTTAATTTTCATTTATTTTGAACTTCCATTTTTTGTAAACTTTTATATTTTGAATTCCTTATCATATTTAGTTAATTATTTATTCTCATTCTAATTTTGATTTAAATAACAAATATTTTAACTAAATTAGCTTAACAAATAATCAAGATAAAATGAAAATTTATATGCCTTTGTTAAAAATAAAATTCTAGATGGTTATTCATTTCTACGTAACTTTCTATTTATACTTACACTTAAAAGTGTTAGCTCATTTTTCTTATGTGTAAGTAAATAAATTGAATATTATAACTTCCCTGATTTAATTGCATTTATATACCATTCATATTAAGCTCTTTTATCAATTCATCAATAATCATACCAACAGTAGTTCCTCTGTTATACTTTACTTTAATATATTATTTCATATCTGTTTTATAGTATACTTTAATAGAATCATTCTCTTGCATTTGTTGTGATGATTTACGAAAAGAATTTGCGAATACACTCATTTAATTATATAATAAATATCTCATATATAGATTATTAATAAATATTTAATATATAAATATCATTTAATATTACTTTTTTGATTCATTTAAAAAGGATAATATTAAATGTTATGATTTATAATATTAAAATTTTATTTAATTTTCATATGATTATTATACTTTTTAATTAATACTAAATCTTAATCATATAATAATAAAATTATAAATTTATTAAGAATGTTTTAATATTTATTTTGACATTTATATTTTATTATATACTGTTTTCTAAACTTTAAAAAATTAATATTATATTCATATTTTCAAAACTGATTTACATTATTAATCAGAAATTATGTTACAATTTATCTTTGATAAATACTTTTGTTAGTTGTTAAAAAATTTCTAAAGATAAAAGAATTTTAATAAAGTAATTATTATTTAATATTCTCATTCATTCAGAAAAAACTTAATTATAATGCTTTAATATATTGAGTATAATACACTTTTTATATTTAATTAATTAATATGTAATTGGTTCAAAGTAATGTTTGTGTGGCATCATTTGACCTTACTCAAGAGGCAATTAAAGTTTAAATTAATGAAAGACAAGGTGATAGTAAATAAGCAAATGTTAAATTATAAATCAATCTAACAGAAGATTGTTTAATCACTCATTTAATTTTGAAATGGAGTGACACTTCAATAAAAGGATTTGCATTTACATCTTTAGAATGTTTAGATTGTTTTGATTAAACTTATAATCGTCTGATCAATAGCAAAGAAGTTGTGAATGCTGAATAATGTGGTGGTTAATACAAGATCGTTGGTCTTGGTTTTGGCAGAAAACTTAGACTTTGTTTCAGTGTATGTGAACCTCCTCAATAATTAGAAAATAAGTTAAAAGCTAAACTATCAATTTAAGTTTATGGATATTAATTATATTAATCACCTGCTGCTAATTAAATGGTGGCCCTATTAAACATAAGTCATATCTTTAAAAAAAATAATCGAGAAATTAATTAAGCAGAAGCAGATATACTCTTAGGTTTATCTCTTCTTTCTTCAAGAAGATTTGTTTAAGCTGCTGAAATATTTAAGAAAGTAGCCAATTTTTATGCTGAAAAAGCTTAAATTTTAGTTAAACAAAAGGATTATTATATTCTAAGGGCAAGTAGTCTAGAAATACTAATAGCTGATTCAATTAACTAGCCATCAATGTTAAATGAGAAACTATAAGCATTAAAATAAGCTGTCTAATATGTTAATGTTCAATATGATAAGACATAGTTACTTTTTACATTATAAAATACAGATTCTTATGAATGCATCCTTAGACTCTCAGATGATTTAATAAAAATTATAAGTAGAGTACTATTGTTAGAAGATAATTAAAATTTTGATGCTTTAAGGATGGCTAATATGAGATGCTTGGAATTTATGATAGAATAACTGGGTTGTGGTTTAGGTGGATAGATTATCTAGATTTTTAAGTTATTTTTAAAGATATTGAATTAATAATAAGGATAATTGATAGTAGAAATGATATATAAAATAGTCAATATGATATTATAAGAATTAAGCTAAGCTACTTTAAAATTGATATAAGAGATATGGAATCAAATTGTTATATAAGGATTATTTGATGTAAATATTGAAGGTTAAAAGTTAATAATGAAAATTTGTGAATATTTATTATAAGCAGATTAAGCTCATTTTAGAATTGATATTTTATTCTTGAAATAATTAAATTAAGTTGAAGAATCTAAGATATGGAATCTAGTATTACAAAATATCATACCAAAATAAAATGAAAAAAAAATTAGTAAAATTATTACTTGGGTTAATCAATAATTAATAGAATAATTAAATTTCACTAATTATAATAATCTTTAGCAATCCTAATAATATTAAATAATTAAACTATTATAATTAATATCTATAATTATTAGATAATAAAAAGAAGAATCTTAAATTCCATTTTTTGAAGAGTTTCTTAATAAATAATTAACAAATACTATAAAAATTAAATAACTTTATACTACTGCTAATCAAAATTTAATTACATTAAAACCAATTTTAATAAAATTATTAGATTAAACTGTTAAGGGTAAAATTTAATTTGATTGTTTTGAACTTGTATGGAATATCCTAATTGAAATTTTAATTGAAGGGAATGAATATGATCAAATGTATGAACTTATAAATCCATTTTTATAGAATATATTTCTTATATGTTAAACTACATCTCCTGGTTAAGATATTTTAGTACTATTAGATAAAATTTTAAAAACTATTTAATTTTAATGTCCATAATTGATATCAAAATTTGAATCATAAATATATTCATATGTTGAAATATTTTGTTAAAGAGTACCTCATAGTATTCATGATGAGACATTTAAGATATTTGATATTTTAATAGCCTTTAGTTAAGAATTTATGGATTAAGCATTAATAGAGAAATGTGTAATGGCATTGATTGATTAATATACAGTTAAAGGTTAAGCTTAAAAATAATCAAAATAGAATTTTATAAAAATGATTGTTTAATATTAAACTCATTTTAATTCTTTGATATAAGTATGTCTTATAGAAAATTAGGAACCTTAAATTTAATCAAATTTAATATCAGAAAATAAAACTGAATTTAGATAAGATAGAATGAAAGATAAAAAAGAATTTAAATCTGATAATAAATAATTAACATAAGAATATGAAATTTTCAATGAAAAAGTTTAATTTATATGTGAATTGTTTTCAGAAATGGGATAATAATTTAAAGTTATAGCATAATTGATATTAAATAATCCTGAATTTACATCTTCTTTAATTAATTTAATACAATCACTCAATTCAAAAATAAGATAAAAAGGTCATTTAATACTATAATTATTAGTTGATTGTTATATCAATATTGAAACAAGTACTAGAATCAAAATATTTGAAGATAGAATTATTTTTGTAAAATTTATTAAAGATATCCTCACTTATTCTCTTTAAGATAAAACTGATTCAAAATGTATATTAAATTCATTACTTATTTTGAATAACATTTTCAATCTTAAATTCTAAAAGAGTGAATATTCTAAAGTTTTAGATGAAGTATCCAATCTATGGAATGATGTATCAGATTTAATAGATACTCCTTTTAATAGTATATATGTTTTATTTTTTGATCTACTTAATTAATGGGGATAACTTTTAAATAAAATACCTAATTCAACAAAACTTAATGATTTTATAGAAAAGATTTTTGTTTGGACTTAAGAAAAATTAGATTGTTAGGAACCTTGGCATTAATATAATATATTAAAATTTTGTGGATATATTTTTGGATTAGATTCAGGTAAAAATTTTAGAGTTTTTCCTTCTATTAATTCATCTTTTTTTGAATAAGCAAGTAAATTGTAGAATAGTTAAAATAAGTAATTATAATTAATGTCAATTGTTATGATTTAATTGTGTACTCCTGAATAAATAGCAATTAGAATTATTTAATAAATGGCAGAACAATACAATTAATTAAGACATAGATAAAATAAATAAAGAGATTAAATTAATAGATAATCAGAAAATATAATTTAATAATTATTTTAGAGATAAAATTCTGTTAAAGATTTAATGATGTAATCAGATACTTTTGGATCCACATCTATGGATGAATTTGAATTAAATCAAGAAGATTTTTTGTGGATTCGTAAAGTTGATTAAGAAGTGCTTTAATAATGCTTATAAACTCTATTTATGTATTAAGTTTAATAGGAAAGTAAAATCAAACAATCTGATATTTTAGATAAGGAAATAAGTATGAAATAAAGCAATAATTTAAATTAAAATACTCATAAAAATATTCTTGATGATGATCCAATTGATTTAGATGATTTAGGAATTATTGAAGTTGATGATGAAGAATGGAATGAATATGATGATCTAAGAAAAATTCCAATATTGAAAGAAAGAATTAAAACAATCTCACCTCATATTGGAAGTAGAACTCCAAATGTAGGAAAATAAAATTAGGAAAGAAGGTCAAGTGGTAATAGACAAGTCTTTGATTAAAGAAAAGGAGAGGTTGAAGATTAAGTTTTAAAGACATTAAGACCTCATAATTAAGTATTTCGACCTTTGACTCCTCCTATTGGATAATAACCATAATAAAATTTTTCATAAACTACTGAAATTTAAAGAGATATGTAATTATTTTCTGATTATATGTTATAAAATCCATAATAATTTTAGAAAATAATGGAAGAAATTAAAATAAATAATAATACAAATACACAATCTTAATAATAACAACCAATTGCTTAAAATGAATAATTGGATGAACAGTTTGAAAATTTAAGAAGAAGAGTTGATGAATTAGAGTTTGATCCTCAATTTTCAAATTCAAGTTAAGATGATATTACAGATGAACCTTAGATAAAATCTAATTAATAGTATAATTCAATATAATTTATTTTAGACATTAATAAAAGAAGAAGAAATCAAAAAAATAACCTTCAATGAAAAAACTAAAATCACCTATCTAACATACTTTGTATCACTCCTAAAAACAATAAAATTCTCAATTAATTTCAAAAAGTGATGAGAAAATTAAGAAAAAAGGGAAGCCTAAATAATCTTGAGATTTATTATAGTAACTTCAATTTACTAAAATTAAAATTAGATTTAAATATTATTTATTACTATTAATATAAATAAATCTTGAATTCTTAAGATTTTTCATCTAATAGCTTTAACAAATGTGTTTTTCGTTTTAAGTTGAATACTTAAATATTTATTTTTATAAATTTAATTTAGATATATATATAATTTAAAAATTGAATATTTAATTTTTTAGTTATTGATAAAGAGTACATATAAAGTATATAAATCATTAAAAAATGAAAAATTTAGGTTATCAATTATGTGGAAACCAAAATTCAAATAATTAAGATGAATTTCTAAATTATTTCTAAACACAAGAAATCTAAATTAAAATGTCAAAATAATAGTTTTATTAAATGTTTAATAATTAGAAGCTTTATAATTTTATCACTTAATTATTAATATAGAATAATAATTAATAAAATTGTTTTAAAAATATGTCTTGAATATAATTTATTAGATTGTATTATATGATATGAAATAATTGAATTAAGAAATAGTAATAATTTTAGTATTTAATAATCAATTAATTCATTGATTATTTATTCAAGAGATATGATTTTGAAATATAGTTTTTGGAAATATTTGATTTTAAAATATATATATCAAAAATAATTAATTTATATATATGTATATCTGTAAAACAGGAATAGTATTATTAATGATCAGAATTGGATAATGTCAGGATCAATCTATTTCACCTAGTTAGGATATAAATGGGACAGCATTATCAATGTTCTTTATATTCTTTTTTTTGGGGATTGGATCATTCATGAAAGAGATTAATAAAAAATTAAAGGTAAATATATGATAAATAATGTAGATTCCATTTTCTCCAATGCTGTTTGTTTTAGGATTGTTTTTTGGATTTTATTGGGATTCATTGGGTATCATTGGACAAAGTTGTAAAAAAATTAGCGAAATTGAACCGGTACTAATTTAGGGATGTATGTTTTCAGATCGGAGTGTTATTAATCTTCCTACCAACGTTAATTTATGAATCTGGATACAACTTCGATTGGCACTTATTCAAGAGACTGTTTGCTTAGACTGCAATATTAGCTTTTCCTTGCGTGATAATATTATCTACATTATTGTAATTGTCTGTAAAAGTATTACTAAACTATGGGGATGACTATTTTACTTGGGAAAGTGCTTTCATGTTCGGTGCAATGTTGAGTTGTACAGATACGGTTGCAGTATTGGCGTTATTAAAAGAGAGTGGAGCATAGAAGAAATTTTAAAGTTTAATAGAAGGAGAGAGTTTATTGAATGATGGAGCATGTGTAATGTTATTTTAGATATCATATGGGATAGTTAGGGGAAGATCTGCATCAGCATTTGATGTAGGATCTTTATTTTTTACATTATGTGTAGGTGGAACATTGATAGGATTAGTATTTGGAATGGCATGTGTTTATTGGATAAAGAAAATAGCAAATGATGAGATACTAGTATTAAATATAACAATAGTCTCAGCCTTTTTAGTATATTTTATATCTGAGAATGTTGATTTTGGAGTACACATATCTGGCGTATTAGGATTGGTATCATTAAGTTTATTTATGGCAGCATTTGGAAGATCACGCATATCTCATGAAGCAGATCATGCATTAAGAGAATTTTGGGAATATGTTGTATTTGCAAGTGAGGTTATAATATTTATTTTGGGTGGAATTATTGCAGGAATTAGAGTATTTAAGGATGAAAGTGAAATAACATAATTAGATTTCTATAAAATGATTGCTCTTTGGTTATGTTTAATGGGATGTAGATTTATCTCTATTGCAGTATTCTATCCTTGGCTTAAAAAACTTGGTTATGGATTAACATGGCCATAGATATTAGTTTTAACATATGGTGGATTGAGAGGATCTATAGGTATTGCCTTTGCTTTAATTGTTGCTAAAGATGAATCATTACCAACAAAATGGAGAGATATTATTTTATTTCATATGTCAGGAATTGCTGTTTGTACTCTTGTAGTAAATGGTACTACTCTCTCTTTATTAATTAAATTATTGGGATTATCTACATAATCTGATATAAGAGAAAAGATATATTCTAATTTCTTAACTAAGTTGAATGAAGAAATTGAATATGAATGTAAAAAAAATAATGAATTAAAATATTTAAAAGAAGCTGATGTTGAATATGTTAAAACTCTTAGTGGTTATAAAGTCTATTAATCAGATTGTAATAAAATTATTGATAAATTGGCTAAACATGAAAAGGCATAAAAAGAAATACAAATGAAAAATATTCATTAACCATTAATGGATGATGAAGAAGATTAAGAATTAGATTAAAATTTATTAACAGAAATTAGAAGAATCTTTCTTATGGCATTGAAGGGTATCTATATGGAATAATTTGAATCTAATTAATGTAGTCCTGATACAATTATTCTTTTGACTGAAAGTGCCAATTTAGATCTTGATAATGATAAAGAACCTATGAATTCATGGGAATTTTTATAGAGTTAATTTTCAGAAAGATACATTAATTTATTATTTTATATGAAAGATAAATTTCTAATTGGTATTCTAGCTAGAAATCAATTATTTTCATATATCTATACAATTTATGATGCTGTTTCTGTTTATATTGAAGCTATTAAAATATTAAAAGAAGAGACATCACATTATCATTTTTCATAAAATTTATTATTAGAAATTTTAAATGAAGTAGAAGATAATAAAAAATCAGCAGTATCATATTTGGAAGGATATTTAGAAGTTTCTTTCCCTGAGATTTCAAGAGAATTACATACAAAAAAAGCTGCTTTTGAAATATTAGAATTTGAAAAATCTGTATTAAAAAATAATCTACAATCTGGTTAATTAAATGATAAGGAATTTTTAAGAATGAAAAGAAATATAGATAAAAAAATGAAAAATTTAAATGATTTAAATCCTCCTTGGTAAATGCCTTCATTAATTGATATATTTACATAACATGAATTGTTTAAATCTCTATCATCAGCAAATATAATTAAATTATTAGAAGGTTCTAGAGAAGATTCATTTGGTAGAGATCAATTGATTTTTAAAGAAGGAGATAGAGCTAGTGAAATATGTATTATAACTAGAGGAGCAGGAAATGAATTTAGTGATAGATCAAAAATAAGAGAGAGACGAGCTTTGAATGAAGTTACACCAATTTATATGTTAGTGGCTCCTTCAATTAGATATTAAACATCATTAGTTGCTGATTGTGTCATTAATGCCACTTTTATTAAGATATAAACTATGCAAACAATAATGAAACAAATTCCAGAGTTTGAAGAAGCCATTTGGAGAAACTCTATACCTCTTTTATGTAGAGTATATTATGATCAATTAAAACCATTATGCAATTTAAAAATCAATTAGATTACAGAGATAGTATCAAAGTCAGTGTTTTAGAAGATTAAGAAAAACTAATTAATCAGATTTGAATAAGGTGGAATATTATTAAAAGGTAGCGGTTTTGTCATAAATTAGGTACATTATGTGATGGAAAGGAAAGCATTTAAGAGGCATCTTCAGAAGATGAAGACGCCTTAAAGAATCAAGAGGAAGAGAAGGACTCAACTTAGAGAGATGCTCTATGTTTGATCACTCCTACATCTTCACCATTAAGAGCCAGAACTGGAATAATAGTTTTATTGTTCAAGCAATATTAATTGCTTGAATAATATAATCAATTGAATCAGAATATTAATGAAGGAGGTAAGCTTTCAAATAGAAGATCCAGTAAATCAGATTTATAAAAAAGATCTTTGACAGCAATACATTGAAAAGTGAGATTTTTTTTATTTGAATAACTTTAATTATTTAATGATATTCTTGTCAACATTGATCAAGGTTGCCTCAGTTGCTACAATTATCTTGCTGGCTGGTGGATCGACTTATTATTATTTATAGAATGAGAATAATAGTAAGGTGGAGACAAAACATTTAAAGGGAAACCATGCACATAACTAACATTTTCATCATGGTAAAATGGAAGATTAAGATTTGCATATTTGCAATCATGGTCACTTTATTAAGGATATAGAAATTGAAGAGCCAGAACGTCCAGTTGATATTCCTTTAGAGGCTAGATTATCACATGAATAAATGCTAATTAAGAATCATAAATAAGGAAATTGGTAAACAATCAGAATAAAGACTGATTATTCATCATTTTAAGTATGATATATTTATTATGATTATTAGGCATCATAATAATAAGCTGATTTCATTGAGAATAGATTAGTGAAAGCAGCAACTGGATTCTTAAAAGCCGCCATAAAAGTGTATCCATCATCCAAATTATTTTTGAGTGGATAATGTGGTACAGTAACTATCCCAAGTTCATTTAAAAGTGGAGTGACTGGAGTTGATTTGGTATTATTCGTCACAGCTACAACTTCATAAGAGTCTTGGGTAGCAAGAGCAGGAGCATGTAGATTGGATCCTACAACATTAAGACCTACAGCTGGTTCATTAGAATTTAATCTTAAATATTTTAATCAACTAGATTTTAGTAAGTTAAGTGAAGGTAAATGGTTTAAATGGATTTAAACTACAATCCATGAAATGACTCATGTTCTAGGATTTAGTAGTGGATTATTCCCATATTACATTGATCCTAATACAATGTAGAAATTAGGAGTCAGTTAAATAGTTAAGACATATGGAGGAAGAGATTGGATTATTTTGCCTAAAGTAGTAAATGCAGTCAAGAGTCATTTTGGATGTTAATCTGCTTGGGGAGCTCCATTAGAAAATAATGGAGGATAAGGAACAGCAGGAAGTCATTGGGAAAGAACTAGTTTTGGTAATGAAGCTATGACTGGATCTGAATTCCCAGATTCAGTATTTACAATATTCACTTTCAATTTACTTGAATCCACAGGATGGTATAATATGGATCATAAGTAATCTGAACCATTTAATTGGGGAAAGGATGAAGGTTGTCCTATTGCTTAAGGATATTGTGTACAAGGATT